CCTCTCAGGATTTCCCGTTTCGCTAGAGAGACTAGGCGCTTTGAGAGCCCTGGGACAGAGCACTCTGTGTTTGCAGGGTCCTGCCTGATTCTGGTCCCTAAAGGTATGGGGAAGGAGGAAGGGAGAGGCGGCCCCAGCCGGATGCAGCAGCTCCCTGCCGGGCTCAGCAGCTGGGCCAGGCTGCAGGTCTCAAGCCGGGTTCAGCACTCTTGTAGGTGCCAATTTTAGCCTCTGCCACTATTTTGGGCTGTGCTGCCTCACCACTGGCAGAGCTGGTTGGGCTCCTCACCCCAGCACCACCCCCACACTGCTCTCCTGCCTCCCCTCCTGCCTAGCAACTCCTTCACCTCCTTCACCCATTCCCCTGTTTAGGAGCCTTATATAGCAAAGACCAGCAGCAAATGAAAGGAAATAAACCAGGCCCAGTCCAGGCTGGGTGGAAATTAGAAGCAGAAAGGGCTTTTCCAGAGCACAGGCTGGTTCCTCCACACTTGCACCTGCAGGGGAGACCTATGGGATGGCCTTAGGAACTCCCCCAAATCAGCAGATCTGAGGCTCCTGGCCCCAGAATGCCAGACTTACCTCCCCCCAGTGTAGCAGCCTGGGCTGAGGAATGTACTAAATTTAAAAACAAACAGCCAAAGGCCAGAGCCTGGCCTGATTGCTCCGCCCACCAGGGGCCCAGAGACTAGGAGTGGGCCGGGACTGCAGCTTGTCTCCCAGGCCTGGGGCTGGATGGTGCTACAGCCAGCTAAGGATACTCTTAAAGGGCCCAACTCTAGCCTCTGTACTCAAGAAACCCAGGACCTGAATGCCAGGCTATTTTGCAGGAACTCTGTCTTCCGAAGGTCTCTAGGAAAGAAGGGGGCCAGACCTGACAACCCTTCTCTGTCCCCTCTCTCCCATCCTACCTGCTGTTTGTCATCCTGCCCCTTGCTGGCCTGGTGTCCTCCTTTCCATCCTCTTAGAAGATGAATAACAAGGAAGAGGGGTGGGCAACATTCCTGCCTTTAAAAATCTGTGTTGAGTGAGTTAGGCCTGCAGCTTGACTCAGTTTCCCTTTTCTGCATCTCCTGAAACAGTAAACACTTCTCTCTCCCTGGCATCTTCTCCTTTTTCCAAAGCTCTTCTTCATTCCAACTCCCCCTCTACTGCTATCCAGTGATATCTTCCAGATTTTCAGAAATTATTTTTTTAGATACACAAAAACAAACATTCTGTCAGAATCTAAAAGCAGCCACCACCTTCTTTAGCCTATTTAACTTGACAAAATGTGGCCCTCCTATTTTAGGGGTAAGGAGGAGGTCCCAAGGAAGAAAGAACCTGGTTGCCAGAGTCTTGACCGGGAGGTAGACAACTACCTCTAACCCCCCCGCCCCCCATCCTGAATACCCAAGGCCAAGCTCTGCACTGTCCAGGAGAGGCAGTTTGCTTTTCTTCTGGCTGGACCTTGTATGCAGGTATCTTCAAAAAGTTTATGGAAACTGCCTATTACAGAGCTGGATGGTGTGTTAGCTGAAAAACTCACTTTACTAGGCTGCCCCCGGGGGAATGTTCTGGGTCCCCATCTGGAGATCACCCTGAAAGCAGCAGGCATGGCCATGCCCATGATCCTGAGACTGACTAAGGCTGGGAGTGGATCATGGTGTCAGGACCCTGTTGGGGGTGCTGTCTTTCTCTCCCTGTCTGCCTCTATTTCCCTCATTCGCAGAGGAAATGAACATTTAATAAATGTGTATCAAGGCCAGTCAGGTGGCGTGGTAGTTAAGGTGGCTGGATCCTGCCTGGCCCACTGCACGGTTCAGGTCCTGGACCTGGTAGCTTGAAAGACACGCCAGGTGTGTATGTGTGCACACCCAAAATCCATAGAGGAGAATGGAAGAGAAGGGACTGCAGCATGGCCATCCCCTGGAGATGCTTTCTCACTCCTCCATTCTCTTTTTGTATCTCCAGTGAGTACAGGCACCCTATAGCAAAAAACTGTGTGTAAATTTCAAGCATTTTTGCACCAAAATAAACTCGTACTTTAATTCCACCTTTCTACGACCTTTTTGATGCCCTGGTAAAGTCGTAACTGACTGATAGCTGATGAGCATCTCACAGAGGGGAAGGCAGAGAGGAGACAGACTGTCACATGCAGGTCACTGAGAGGCAGAGGCAAAATATTCAGTCAGCGCTCCGAGGTGTGCAGTCCAGCTCCACCTCTTCCCAGCAATGAGGTCTTGGCCAAGTTACTTAACTCCTAGGTGATGTCTAGAAGATGGAGATTAAAATGCTTATCTTCACCAGAGTTGTTACGAGAATTAAACAAGGGGCGTGGCAGTTAAGGCTCTGAATTCCCATACAGCTGACCCCGGTTCAAGTCCCAGACCGGCAGCTTGCTTTCTCACTTTCCTTCTCTCACTCTCTGACTCTCTGGTCAAATTAAAAATTAAAAAAAGATGATGAATAAGATGAAATAAATAATTCTTTTAAAATAAAGAATTAAGGCAGACCTCTGGAAAGGGTTCCGTCATCTGCACAATGCTGGTCAAGTAGGGAGGAATAAGCCACTTCCTTCTCTCACCGCTTGACTGAGCCCCGGTCCAGCCCCACCCCCTGGCCCAGCCCCACCTCCTGACGTTTGCAGGCCTCAGACCCCCCTGCTGAGCGGGAAGGAGCGGGAGGAAGAGATTAAAAGAAGCCAGGGGCACACACATTCATGAGGTGGAAGGAAGATAGACCAGGACTCCACAGAGGGAAACAGGAAGACAGGGCCAGAGACCCTGGTGAGGAAAGACTGGCCAGGACAATGTCCTGACTTGCTCCTGCTCTTTCCTGTTCCCTGTCTGGGCTCCAGAGTCTCCACCCCCCTCTTCAGGGTGCCCCCTACCAGCCCGTTAGGCCACAGGTGGGCAGACACAGACACGGAGTCTGGATGGCCCCTGGCCAGCACTGGCTTCCCCTACCATTCCCACGGCAGAAAAGGAGGTAGTTCTGTGGTGAGCTGTCCTGCGTGAGCTGAGAGTGCCTGTGGGAGGACAGGGCCAGACCCTCAGGTCTCTGTTGCATGCAGAGCGTGGGCATGCCCACTGTCAAGGCAGCTGGGGCAGGGGATGCACTACAGGGCGAAGACCCTGTTAGGGGTGTCTGTCTCTCTGTCTCTGTGCCTCTTTTGCTTATGAAAGAAAGAAATAATTTAGAAACAAAAAATCCTTAGAGTGTGGAGGGGGGTAATCAGGGGAAGAAAGAATATTTAACAGATAAAAAATAAATTATTATCTGTTAATGATAATGCGTATGGTAATGTCTTAGACTGGACTAAGCGCACTGTGTTCATGCTGGGAAAAATTTGGGGGGGCCAGCAGGTGACACGGTGGGGCACTGGACTCCCATGTGATTGACTGTGGTTCGAGACCCGGACCTGGTGGCTTGAAACTCACACCTGGCACATGTGCATGTGAGCCCAAAGTCCTAAGAGGAGACCGGAAGAGAGGGAATTGCAGCGTGGCCATCCCCCTTTGGGGTGATTTCTCACTTTCTGTCTCTCTGGTGAACATATGAGTCCTAATAGCAAAAATCTCTCTCAAAAAAAAAAAAAAATTGTACACTGTAAGGATGTACAGTGATTAAATGTAAATTTTAAAATATTTAAAAATTTAAAAAGCAGAATCCTTCCTGCCCCACCTGTACTCCTATACCAGCTTTAAGATACTCCAACGCTCCTGTTCTGAGCCGGGTCTCCAGCCTCGGTAAGCCTCAAGTCCCACCCGCAGCCTGTGCTGAGAAGGTACCAAAAATGTAGCCTGCTTTCATCCTTCTCTTCCCAGCCACCCCACCAAAGGGAATCCTGGCTAAGGGCCGGCGGAGGGGAGTGCCCTGGCACCACCGCCTGAGCAGCCTTCCTGGGCAAGCACCTCATGGCTCTGCAAGGTGGGTATGGCCATGGCCTCCCTAGCATTTCTCTCGGTGCTCAGAGGCCGCCCCGGGTGGGAAAGTACGTTCGGGGAGGCCATGAGAGGAAATGGGGGTGGCTCATTCTGCCAGTAACTGAAGGCAGTGGAAGTGAACTGAAGCAGCGGGCAGAGCTGGTGTCACCAGGGCTGGTGACAAGGA